GAAGCCGAAGGAATGTTTCCAGGGCTGTAAGAAATATGACAGACTTAAGTAGGATGAAGTGTGACAAACTATCTGCAGTGTGAGAATGATCACCAGATACCACGGTTGCATTCAATTGCCGTAGAAGCATCAATTTGTATGTAGACCTCGGTAGGCTTTGCATTATTCATTATCTGACTTGATTCTACGAGATTAAGGACTGGACGTTCGTAAATGCGAATATCACATGAATGCTTTTATATAAAATCTAGTGGATTTCCCGTTAAAAATGACGAGTAAGTCAAAAATATTAAACATACATAATGACAAATAATATTATCTATTAACAGCAAATGATCACCAACCAACACTTGCTTTTTATACTGATCGTCTTCTGTCAGTGTATTTGCACAGCAAGGTAACAGTTATACCGATAAGTCACGAATCAGGCTCCGGTACATTTCCACAGCTGACACGTAGCAGGAGGCCTTTCTTTTGCTTATCGCCTCAAATATCAAAATACAGTCCATAACAGCCATGCACCTTCAAATGCGGTATGTTGTGTGCACAGTCTATATTTTGGAGTCAAACATGGTTTCACGTAAAAGAAAGACACAATAATATAATTTACACATGTGATTTCTTCGAACACAAATGAAGGTTAACTTAATAAAATTCAGTACGAAATTAAACAATACGTCGACCGCACACTACGGATCACACTGAATAAAGAGAATCAGTTAAAATCAGACAGAATTTAAGGAGGAAGGAAAGAGACGCATCCCTGAACTTCAGTTACGTACTACAAGAACTAGCAGCAGACAGCAATTGAAATGCAGAAACTTCTGAAACACCGAACGGGATTTAGAGCACACAGTCCTCTTGCAGAAAGACGAGGGAATTTCCAAACACTTCTCATCTCTTGACATAACCCGCCCATCTAATTCAAGTCGATTCAATCGGCCTATAAATATATGAAGAAGAGTAGGACCACAGATTATGAAGCTCCTCATTATGAAACTATAACCAGCTTGCCGTCACATCATTCCTCTTACGTACAAATATTAAGATCGGCGCCCTGTTCTGAAGCATCCTTAGTATGTTGTTTCTTGAGGATAAATGCCCATACAAGACAGCAGGGGAAAGTATAGCTTTGTGAAGGCCTATTCAAAGCTTAAAAAGTCCAACAGTCAAATAAGACACCCAGAATACCTGGATGCCTAAATGATACTACACAGGAAAATTTTCAACCATCCACAACGCCATTCTACAACACTACATCTATGTTCACATAGACAAATGTTACACAATACTGCTGGTAAAGCTCTGCAGCTACAGGCAGATTAAAGACTCTACACTTACATGCGGGATGTACCTGGTTCGAATTTCGACTGAGTTACAGCCATCCTGCCGGAGGATTTTAATAGTTTCCCTCGGAATTTTCAGACGAATGTCGAAGTATTACTCTGAAACAGGCTAAGAGCTTTTCCTTCCAAATTTGTACCTGACTATATATTATCAACCCCGATCAATACAGTAGTACCTTACTGTTGGAACAGGTTCGTTAAATAACCTAACAATTAATAAATAAGCAAATTAATTAATTAATCTATGGTGATTGCCAAAGTTAACAAAGGCTTGAAATCAGTCCGATACATTTCAATTGGGAAGATGTCTGTGGTGATACATGGAAGAGGGTTAAATCACTTTTCCAAAGAAGAAACAACTTAAGACATTTATGCAATAATGAACTTAACTCAGTATTTTATTAGGCCTACGTCACTGACTAGCAAGTACTGTGCTTTAGTGACGTAACTCGGTTTTCACTTGATCTTTTTAATAAAGGGAATTTCGCGACGCACTTATCTCATTTTGGCCAATTCTTTACTTAACCCTCTACTTCGCAACACCGCAGACGTTTCCTTGAATTCAATATAAAATTCAATGGCATCAATAAATCAGACTAATAAAATACGAATATGATCAGGAATTGGGTGTAACGAGGAATACGGAATGGGGTCTTGGACTAATTTAAGGCACTAATATGACATTCTACTGGAAGAATTGAGGATACTTAAAAATCTTGGCCCCGACTAAAATTCAAAATCGGATCCATCAAAATCAGGCTTTTCACCTCTGGGTTAAGCCTGCTCAGATTTTTATTTGGGGGAACTAAAAAAAAACGAGACCCCCAAAAACCACATCCGGCCCTAGGAATCAAATCCGGACCTCAGACTGCATCTACCTCGTCCTTAAACTTAACCGAGTACTGTAACATACCAACTCTCTGATCTGCCTTTGCAGAACCTGGCGCCTGCGACGTTCATCTTCCAATACTGAATGCTTCACACGGTAAAATAATATTCACATGTGACATGAACAATACTAGTAACCGAGCGAGTTAGTGCTGATTGGCTCACAAGGGCACGTGACAGTATACGCGCATAAGCGTCCAAAACTCAGCCGCCATCGTTCGAGTCGCACACTTTAGAACAGGGCTCCTATTTCAATTCCAACAACATACTTACACACAGGTTTAAAACAACTTTAGAAAAAAAAAAGAGAATCGATATCTTTGCCGGTTTGTTTAGTGGCGATTTCAATTCATCAGAAAAATCCCTGTATCACAGAATGATAAAATGATCAGTGAATAATAATTGAAAAACGTAAAAACGGCACTATCTCAGAATTTCCATAGAGAAACTGAGAAAAACCTCCAAAATCTGTCAGTACAGCCCTTCTCCGAGTCTTGATTTGAACACGCCACCTCCCGAATACGAAGAAGAAATTAAGCTGAGAGGTTCTCTAAGAGTTAGGTGAGGTCTTACAATGAAACTAAATATCTCACTTTAGTATACAGCACACAAATAGAATACCGCTCACAACAGCAACTACAGTGGTCCATAATCTGGCACTTCAATAGAGCATTATGACCATTATCATGATACATTAAAGCATAAGGCACACGCAGGTAATTCACTATGCGATCGTAGGTTGAAATATGTGCATGATGACATTGCGAATGTTACACGGTTGTCCAAAGAATACTGAGAAATATTTTACACACTTAATGTTAGTTTCTAAGAAAACCCAAAGTTATTTTTAAAATGGCATCTTGTTATATATTTCACGCTAGTTTATAATAAAAACAATAATTATTATTATTATTCAATTTATTCGCCATTTTACAGGGTATTTACTTCTATGTACCTGAGACAAACATTGCCCAAGAGGTACATAGTGCAGCAGCTATTTATGAAATACATTTTGTTTTTTAATACGTGTTACATGTATTAAACAGATTTCGCGTGAGGCATTATATATTTTACATGAGCGTCTTTCGAATAATGTATGATGTTATTAGAACGGCTGTTTTCTGAAGTACTTTATTACAGCGGTGAGAATGAAGACGTCTGTCTCTGTGTGTCACGATGCTGTCTGGTAGAAGTTTACCGAAGTTTCAGGGTGCTAGCTTATTTCACCGTCATGGCGATGGCCCTGATGAAGGGGGCACAGAGCACCCCTAAAATACTGGAAAATGTTTACGAGACTACAGGTCGCAACAATCCGGAAGACAGCCATCTTCAACCCCAAAAAAGATTCCACAAGAGCATGGTCATATCGTATGCCACTTCT